TAAAAAAAGAAGAAACAAAGCAGTCAGGGGGGCCAACCCTGCCTTGAAGCTCTCAAACAAAGCATTTGCCAGAATCCTAGTCTCCCTCACCCTCCAGCCCTGCTGCATCGTCAACCCTACTCCACACCCTCCTTCCATGGCTGTCTCTACATCTCTTCCCGAGTTGCCAATAGTTGCCAGATAAAATCATGAAATTGTACTTTAACTTGATGCACAGCAAATTCATCCTGCTTTCACCAAGGCCCCCATGCCTACTGCCAATCCTTCCATCAGCATTGGCACACAGTAGGCACTTAATAAATGCCTGTTGACTGACTGAGTGACCACCTGTTTGCACATAACCAGATCAGGGGCCAGCCAGGAAGCACTGGTGTGTGTGAGCAGTCCGGAGAGAGCCTGGGGAGGGAGGGCCGAGGCAGGGAGCTCATCTCTTCCCTCCTCCAGCATTCCCTCACCAGCATCTCCCAGGGACAGCCCTTTCTTCATCTCCTCCTCCTCCTCCTCCCCGGGCCACCAGCAGCCCCACCCCTCTCCTACATGGTCTTCTCCCCCTCGAACCTTCAACCTCTCCCCCTCCACATGCTAAAAACAAGCCCAAGCCTCCCTCATCCTTAAAAACAAACCAAAACCCCACCTGCACTAGGCCCTCCCTATATCTCTCCTCCCTTTTCCAGCCAAACTCCTCAGAAAGGCTGTTTACACTCACTGCCTCCCTCCCACTCCTAATGGACTCCTGGACCCTCTGCAGTCCAGCTCCTGACCCCCTCACCCCACTGCAAGCACCCTCCCCAAAGTTACAATGATGTCTCAATGTGTGTGTGTGTGTAATGTTATAAATGTATACATCACATAAGAGAATATAATTCATGGATACACATGTACATCTGTGTATATATGTACAAACACATACAAAGTACAAACCAGTCCCAGGCTTTTGTCTCACGGCATCAGTATTTGGCCGGACATCGCCAACTCAACAAATCCGTAAGTGAAGACGTTCCCTGTCCCCCCAAGCCCCCAAATCTGCATCCTTCCGGGCTCCGGGTGGGTAACCTCGGCGGCCTCCTTGCCTCTTCCCTCCCCCACCCCCCACGTCCAATCCCTTGTCAAACCCCATACGCCACCACGTCTGAGGCCTTCTCTCCCTGCTCACACCGACCAGCTTAGCTCAGGCCCCTCTCCCTTCTCCCCTGCATCGTTACAACAGCTTCCTTGTCTGTTTGCCTTCTTCTAGCCTCTCCCCACTTCTGTCCATCCTACTCCCTGTGACCAAAAGTGATTTTCCCTAGGCAAAGGTCTGACTGTGTGATTCCCCATTGGCTTCCCATTGCCTCTAGCATCAAATAACTTCTGTTTAGTTTCTACAGCCCTTCACATCCTGGCCCTAACCTCTTTCCAGCCTCACTGGACTCTGAGATCCACAAGTGTCCTTCTCTCTGCTCCTCACACAACATTCTAGTTCCCACCTCCAGGCCTTTGTATGGGCCATGTCCCCTGCCTGGAAGGCACTCTGGCTCAGAGTTCCCTTGTGACATAACTCAAGCACCATCTTCTCTATGAAGGTTTTTGTAATTCCACCAAAGACTCTCCCACCAAACCAACTTTTTAGCTGTTCTGTACGTACTTCTGTTTATTCACTTCATTATTTATGCTGCATATACTAACATATATACTTGCTGCCACCCCTACTGTGAGGGGGGTTGTTTCATTCTTTTTCAGCGGCAGTCTTTGAGGGAGGTGCTTCAGAAACGCTACCCGATTGATTCTTGATTGACTGTACCTGGCCTGGGCAGATTCCATGCCCCCACACTTCTGAGACGCTCACCTCCTGTCTCCTCTGGCCCCGGAGCCCACTCCGCCATGGTCACTGGTCCTGGCTGGGCTCTCTGTGCTCAACCTTTGCTCCAAGGCCTCTCTGCTTGGAGTCGCTGCCCCATCGGCGGTGCCAGGAGCTGCTACTTCACCTCAGGTGCTGCCCTCGAGCCGGGGGGGAAGATCTCAGGGCAGGGGTCATCTTCTGGGGGGACTGCTTTTCCTGGAAGTGTCCTCTACACCCTTCACCTTCCAGGAAGCTGAGGCCTGGGAGTGGAAAAGCAAGGTCTCTTTACCCTTCACTCTGGGGCTCAGATCCCCATCCCCCGCTGGACCCTGTACCCCTGGACCAGAGGACTCTAGCAGGCGCTAGTTGAGCCAGAAAAAAGGATACAGACAGCAGGAGGGAGCAAAGAGCCACAATCACACATTGTAACTCGAGGCCTTTGGGAGCCGGCCTCAGGTGCTGGACACACAAGAGGGCTGATGATGAATTTTTCATTCATTCAAGAAATGTAGAAAGAAAACCTACTGCGTGTCCCACGCTGGAGTGAAGCAAGTGTTCTTGACCACGAGCTCCAGAAGGCCGGCCTTTTATACCCTGGTCAGATACCCACAGCTGTCCACTGGGGGGGGGGCAGGTGTTCCATCCCCATGGCCCTGCCAAGCATATTTCAGTAGGGTGGGCACCCAGGGAATTCTTTTTCAAGGTGAACTCAGTCATTAAGAACAGTATTGTTATTCATCAAACTAAAGAAACTAAAACGTCTAGTTTTGTCTTAATCGGGGCAGCTCAGTGTCACAGAGGATAGAGTCCTGGGTCCAGAGTCAGGACGACCGAGTTTGAATTCGGCCTAAGACACTTCCTAGCTGTGTGACCCGGAGCAAGTCCCTTACTCTTGGTTGGCCTTGGTTTTCTCATCTGTAAAATGGGGATAATGATAGCTCCCACCTCCCAGGGCTGCTGTCAGGATCAAATGAAATGAGGTTTGTAAAGTGCTGGGCGAATCTGAGAGTATTGGAGAAATGGGAGTCATCAGTTTTAAGTCAACAACTAAACTGGGCTTCAAACATCCCAAATTTGTAGAGAGCTCCTTTCGATCCAGCCCTTCCCCTTCCCCCACAATACAGAAGAGACTCTGAGCCGCCCCTTCTGGACTAACACCGATCTCTTCAAAGGCCCCTGTGTCTCGGGCCACCAAGGGCCAGCGGTGCAGTCTGAGGACTGGCCACAAGAGGGCGTCCTTTGAAACGGCGAAATCCCCTTGGGGTCTCCAGCCAGAGCCACAGGGCCATGGAGACTCCTGCAAAAAGTGGCCAAAGGACTCAGGGGAAAAAAGGCTAGGACTCAGCTCTAGTGCGCTGGAGCTCCCCGGAGCAGACCCTGCCGAGACGGGGCCTGTAGAGGAGGGGTGACTCCAGCTCAGAGAGAGTCTGGAAGAGGGCTGGAGGCCTCTTGGACCACAAGGTGACCGAATCCCAAACATACCTCCACGGTGTCCCCAGACTAGAGCCTCACAGAAGCAATCAGCATTTATTAAGTGCCTACTGTGTACCAGCCACTGAGCTAAGCACGGGGAGGGGGGGGGACACCAAACGGGGCCAAAGACATTCCCTGCCCTCAAGGAGCGTACAATCTGATGAGGGAGGCAACAAGCAAATACAAAGTGAATTATATAAAGAATAAACGGGAAACAATCAAAAGAAGGAAAACACTAGAATTCAGAGGGGTTGGGAAAGGCTTCTTGTAGAAGGTGGGATTTAGCTGGGGCTCTTCCCCGCCCCTCCAGTACACACTAAGAAGGTGCTGCCTGTAGGTAGACACCACCTACCCTATGGAGTTCACTCAATCTAGAATCATTTATTAAGTGCCTACTGTGTACCAGCAGGAATGGGGGCCCTCCTGGAAGGGTGTGAACTGGAGGAGCCCCAGGAGAGGCCCCTGGTGATGTAAAACCACACGTTTTGAATAAAAAGTTCTTGGTGACCCTGAAGACCTGATTTCACTTGAGGGGTGAAGATGGCAATAGGGTTTAGAAGAGAAGTAAAGCCACGGCCCTGGAAGATTTTTCAAGGAGTTTGGCTGGGAAAGGAAGGAGAGATGGGGAGGCTGGCCTGGGGTGGGGGTAGGTGGGGTCTCTTGTTGTTTTTCAGTCATGTCTGACTCCCCGTGACCCTGTTTGGGGTTTTCTTGGCAAAGATACTGGAGTAGTTGGCCATTTCCTTCTCTAGCTCATTTTACTGATGAGGAAACTGAGGCAAACAGGGTGAAGTGACCTGCCCAGGGTCCCACAGCTAGTAAGTGCTGGAGGTTGGATTTGAACTCAGGCCTTTGTGACTGCAGGCCCAGCGTTCGGGGCATTGCACCCCAGCTGCTCCCCGGGGGTTAAGGTCCAGGGAGAGGTTTTTAAGGGTGGGAGAGACTTGGGCGTGTTTGTGGTCAGGAGAGAGGGAGAGGGGTGCACCCTCTTGGGAGCGTGGGTTCTGCAAGCTGGGGGGGGTGCTCAAGGTTGGGGGTGGAATGACCTTGGCAAAAGGGGCCCCCCTCCCAAAAGACCAGAGAACGAGGATTTCAAGGCAGAGTCCAATGGTGTTTATGAAGCACCTACTGTGTGCCTGGCGCTGTGCCAAGGGCAGATGTTATGAAGAAAGGCAGAGGCCTGCTCCTGCCCTCAGGGAGCATACATTCTAATGACAGACAACACTCACTCCTGTGGTCAGCTAGGGGCAGTAAGAATGGGAGGGACCGGAACTAAGGGGGCTGGAGAAGGAAGGCTTCCTGCAGGGGCAGGCGGAGCTGGAGGGAGAGTGTGCCCGGCGTGGGGGCAGCCGGTGCAAAGGCCCAGAGTCGGGAGATGCAGGGTCCCTGGCTGGACTCTAGCAGCATGTGGGGAGGGAGTGACAAGCCTGGGCCGGGCGGAGGGCCCGCGTCTGGCCAAACAGCATTGTGTTCGATGCCAGGGGAAAAGGGAGGGGCCACAGGGCTGCGTGGGCATGTGTCGGGGGCGGGGGGGGGGGGGTTAAGCCGCCCGTGGACACAAGCGCTCATTCACACGCGCAACCTACCCGCTGTCCAGCCGGGTAGCGCATGCGCACTCACCCCTCCTTCAGAGGGCCCGGCCCGGAGCGCGGAAGAGGGCGGGGCCGCGCGTGCGCACTGCCTCCCTCCCGAGTTTTCTCTCCCTTACCCGGCTGGATGAGCCGCTCGGCGCGATACCAGGAGCCCACTGCTGGAAACTGGGCGTCCTCGCAATGTAAACGACCCCCTCACTCTGAGCCCCTCGAAGATATTTCCCACGATGCACCGCGCTTTGCGTCAATCAGCCAGGGACGAGCTAAAGGGGTCATGTTGCAGGTGCGCAACTGGGCCGCTGCATTCTGGGAAGGAAGTCCGGGATAATGCATTCTGGGAAATGAAGTCCGAGAGGGAGGAGGCTGCCGCCTGGCCCGCACCGCGCACGCGTGAGCCCCGGACTTCATTTCCCCCGCAAAGGCTTACGTGGCCCTTTACCTAGCTGGAGGCTCGGGGCACGGGTATGAGGCGGGGGGGGGACGGGAGGGGAGGCTGCCTCCCTACCTCCCACCCCACGTAGGGTTCTCCCTGCCCCCCCCCTCCCCAGCCGTTCTTCTTTGCCTCCAGTTTGGTCCCATCCGGTCTTCCCTTCTCAGTGCGTGGAGATGCCGCCTCTGACGTCACTAACCGGTGAAACTGATCCCCCTGTGCTTTACAAGCCTCGTCCTCCCGCTCCCCGAGGGACAGGCTCCGCCCTCGGACCCCCAGTCGAGAAGAGCTGGGGGAGAGCAGCGGCGGATGGAGGGGTCCTGGCAGTGGTCGCGCCTCGGAGAAGCCTCGCTTGGAGGGGAAGGGAAGGGGCTCCGCCCGGCCCGTGTCCACCTCTGCACCCCCTGCCCTGGCACAGCCCAGCCCCACCTTTTTCCCCCTCTCCCTGCTTGCCCCTCCCCCCGCCCGGGATGCTCAGCGCCCACCTGCTTTCGCCTCCTCGTTATTTGTGCGCGTTCCCCCGGCGCGTTTTCAGAGAAACTCTCGTTCGGCTGGTGTCTGATGCCACATGAACCTTCCGCGACGCGGACATCGTAGAGGTGAAGGTTTATCATGCGTAAGCCCAGGTTCAGGAGATCGAAAAACAACCATGAACCTGGATGGGTGATACGACTGATAGAGAAAATTGTGTCGGACAGACAGAAGTGCTTTTAACATAAACCGATCTTTATGGCCTTTAAAGTCATCTGTTTTGTCACTTCAGACACTTCCTGAGCTCACGTGGGGTTTTCTTGGCAAAGATACTGGAGTGGTTTGTCATGCCCTTCTCCAACTCATTTGACAGATGAGGAAACTGAGGCCCAGAAAGGGGAGAGTGACTGACGGCCAGAAATAGGCTTCAGGTCCACTGTCCCCCGTCCAGGGCTTGCCCCCACCACGACACTGTACTGCTTCCCCAAAATGCCCGGTCTCTTGTTTCTTGGTTATCCTGTTGAAACCGTTCGTGAATGTAAAAATGAATTCTGTATATACAAAGTTACTAATAGTGCCATATTGGACTGTATCAAGTTGTAAGCTCTGTTTTAGAAGGATAAATTAGCAGCTTCAAAATGTTTCATGTCGGAGGCTTAAATACTTTCTGCTTGTGTCCCTAACTTCATGTGATAAGACTCGCTTGTTCCCCTAACACTAAAATACTAGGAATATTATTGTCCATACAAAGGAATTTTGTGACATGATTATTTTAGTTCCAGACTGATAAGATCTGAAGTGTAGGGGTGAGGGACACCTCTGGAAAAGACCTGTGTTCTGTGCTCAGTGTCCAACCACGGAAGCTGAAAATCATCTGGAAGGTCTTGTCTTACTCAGACACATACATGCACACATTTAAGAAGCGTGTTAACTCTACTGCTGCTGCAGCTGCATACGCTTTGATCTGGTAGTCGTACTCCTGTGGCTTAGGTTTGCTCCACGCACGTGCAGCTGGGTCACATTCCACCATGAGTCATTAATTGAAATGTTGGCCTGATAGAATATTGCAGTGAAGGTGAATCGGGGCAAGAAGGTGAAATCCTTCAGGTACTCTCAAGTATTTGGAAACAAGCACAAGTCTAGCAAATAGATTATTTTTATGTCATTAATTTTAAAAAGTATGTTGTGCAGGCCTGTTTTACATCCTCTGCGTTTTTCAAGGGCTGCCTGAAATCCTTTTGCAGGCTGCAAGCTGATGAAGGGCTCTAAGTGGCCCAAGGGCCGAGTGTTGTGTAGGCCTGTTCTAAGTGGTTAGCTTTGGAGACTAGGGCATGTCTAATGCCATGTGCTCAGAAAGAGAGCCAGTTCTGTCAACACCTACTAGTTGCATACTTGTGATTTGAGATAGAAGTGATCATTTATACTATGTTGCCTAACCGTTTATTGATAAAAATGGAAAAAATGCTCATTTGTAAACTTTCTTGTTTCAAAGAAAGTGATGATCTTTCATAAATGTAAATTATGTGAATAATAAAGTAATTTTATACCACTCAAAAAAAGAGAGAGAGACAGAGCCAGGTTCCTCTGCAAGGTGAATCTGCCTGGAATCTGCCTAAGAAAGCTGGTTGTTCTTCAGGATGTGGCCTGTTAGGAAGACCTGAGTTCAAATCCAGCCTCCGATACTTCCTACCTGTGTGATCCTGGGCAAAACCTTTGATTGCTTCACAAAAGGATTCACTGGAGAAGGCAAACCACTCCAGTATCTTTTCCAAGAAAGCCCCACAGACAGTATGGTCCATGGGGTCACTAAGCATCAGACATGCTGAACCACTCAACAACAGAAACCCAAAGCTACAGTATTACCTGATCTGCCACTTCAGTAACCCTGTCAAATAAAGAAAGGAGTTCTGTTAAGTATGACCTGACCTTTTAAAAGTGAACGTTGATATATTTTATTTTTACATCATTTTCCTTTCTAAATCCTCTTCCTTTCCCTCCCCAGGGATTCATCCTTTGGTAAAAGAAGAGAAAAAAGAAGTTCAATTTTCTTGTTTTATTATTAACTTCACAAATAGAAACACGAACATTTTACATACAAAAAACAGACTGTACATGACGATGTGAATCTCTATTATATATTAAGCTGTTTTTGTTTTTTAAAAAAGTATATATTAAATTCAATGCAATTATACTAACACTGCCCTGATTCAGTGCCTTTCTGAACTTCTTTTGTCTTCAGAGCATTTAAAAACATTTAATTGATGCTTCTTTCTTCTTTTTTTTGTGTCACTTTCTCTACCCATTCATTTCCCCCACCCCTGCAAATAAAAGTCCTCCCTTGTCACAGTCAGGCAAAACAAATTCACATTGGCTAGGTTTCCTCTCCATCACTAAAAACAAGAATACTTGAGCAAGATAATTCAACTATTGTTTGTTGTATCAGCTCTGTTAGTAATTGAAGTGTTAAACATCCAGAATACATTCCTCCTCGAATAAGGAAGGCAATATCTTTTCTCATTCTCCACGGTTATGCTGGGTGACTCTAATTCCATACTGTGGAATTAGGATTTTTTTTATTAATTGATATGACATATATAATGAATATACTAATAATTCAGTTTTTTAAGAGCTGCCTCTCTGGCTCAGGAGTCAGAAGCTTACAATGCAACTTGAAATAATCAGACTTTGACAACGCTTGTAATCACTGGCATACTTGTGCCAGTGTATCACAAGTGAACCAAATCAAAGATTGTAGAACCTGTTCCCACCACAGAATTCCAGTTCTGTACCCTAGGGGAGATGGTCATGACTCCCAAAGACTTGACTCCAGAATTGTATTGTGGGATTTGGGGGTTTCTTGTGGATTACAAATGATTGTTTGTAATCCACCTTTCCCCCCGCCCCAACCTGTGATCTAAGTATATAACCTGTGCTTGTCCTTCAGCTATGAGAACATTCTTCACTCTGAAGCTGATTAGTAAAACTACTTGATTACTGGCACTCCCACTCTAGGCCTGCTATGTGCGGCTCTGAGCATTATCAGGTTAAAGGCTGGCTCAGTAAAAATCCTGTTCCCAACAGCATTCAGTTAGGTTTTTCTGTTCCTCCCATTTACCTGTAGTCCTTGTGTATGTTGGGTTTCTAGTTCTGTTTACTCGGTGTCAGTTCACATCAGGCTTTCTACATATCTTTGAATTCTTCAGTCATCATTTCTTACATCACAGAAACATTCCATTATATTCACGTGTCCCAGTTTGTTCCCCATTCAACAGGCATCCACTTGGTAACACCTGTTCTAGATGATGGTATTGCAGTCAAAATGAGTTGATACAGATGTTCTCTATGTACAATACAGCATGTGCTCACTAAAGGTTTGTACCCATGAACTGCCTTCAGAGGATCTCGCTCCAGTATGAGTTCTTTGATACTGTTTAAGCATCCCTCAAGCATCCCCTCTCAGAGAAGGCTTTCTCACATTCATTACATTCAAAATGTTCTCTCCAAGGTGGTTGGTTGATTGTTGACCTTCGTTCTTGAAGAGGACCAAAATGACATCATTATGCTAGAGTCTAGTTACAGTGTGTCCGACTGTGGCTGATTAGACCAATACGAGCTTAGAATGTTCTACCACAGATTGGGCACAATAGTCCCTGCAAATATTTGGTGTTCATTCTCTAAATTTGCTCATCCTGAGTTTCTTTTAAGCTACTTCAATTCTCCTTTGCTCACAGAGCACAGCATTTTCTGTGATGTGGGCACGCCAGGCTGGGCGGTCCTATGTTAGTGTCTCTCATATCACACAATCAATTCCAAAGTTCTTAAGAGAGACCTTGAGAGTGTCCTTGTATTGCTTCTTCTGACCACCATGTGAACACTTGCCCTGTGTAAGTTCTCCATAATATAGTATTTTTTGGCAATTGTACGTTTGAACAACGTGGCCAGCTCATAGGAGTTGTGCTCTCTGAAGTAGAGTTTGAATGCTTGGCAGTTTAGTTTGAGAAAGGACCTCAGTGTCCGGTATCTTATCCTGCCAAGTGATCTTCCAAATATTCCTAAGACAATTCAAATGGAAATGACTCAGTTTCCTGATGTGGTGCTGATATACTGTCCAGGTTTCACAGGCATATAACAATGAGGTCAGCGCAATGGCTCTGTAGGCCTTCAATTTGGTAGTCAGTCTAATACCTCTTTTCTCCCACACTTTCCTTCTGTCTCCCAAACATCGAACTAACTCTGGTAATTCATGCATCAATCTCATTATCAATGTATACATCCCTAGAAAGTATACTGCCAAGGTAGAGGAACTTATCCACAGCATTCAAGACTTCTCCATTTGCTGTAACAATAGATGTAACCACATATGGATGGTGTGGTGGTGGCTGATAAAGTACTTGATGCTGTCTGATGAATAGTAAAGTTTGTCCTGAAAGGCTGAAGCCTTTCTTATTCACTATTCAAAGGATTTCTATTTAAATCAAATGAGATATTTGTAAAAGTGTTTAGCAAAGCAACCGTTGGCTGGCACACAATAGGTGCTTAATAATAATGCTTATTCACTTCCTCTTCCCTAGTAGGAACTATCTGATGGACTCTGAGTAGTCTACTTTAACTGAATGGTCTTTCACATTCATTGCGGTCAAAGCTTTGATTTTACACTAGTAAGAGTTCTCGGGTGGATAATAAGGAGTCCTGTCCAGTTGCTCATTAAAAGAAAACAATTTCTCTCTAGTATAAGTTGCTGATGGAAGGTGTGTCTTCTCAAGGTAGCAAACAACTGGAAACAAAGTAGGTAACCATTGATGGGGGAATGGCTAAACAGGTTATGGTTCATGAATGTAATGGAATATTAAGGTGCTGTAAGAAATGATGACTGAGAAATACAGAGAAGCATGGGAAGATTTATATGAACTGATGCAAAGTAAAGTTAAAGTAAGCCAGGAAAACAACATATTTGGTGATGACAATAATGTAAATGAAAAGAACAACAGAAGATTAAATTAAATGCTATGAAATTATGACCATGCTTGACCTTGAAGAAGAAATACGAGAAGGAAATGGATTCTTTACAGAGGCAGGTGACTATGAGTGTGCCACAGTGCATTTAATGTCAACACGCTTTTCAGGGTGTTGTTTCATTTTACGGGATAATTTTTTCTTTGGTATAGTGGATGGCTTTTTGGGAGGGGACCAGGAGAAGATGACACATTGGGAAATGCAGAAAATTCAAAGTTAGCAAAAAAAAAATCATTAAAAAGACAGTGTCCCCTCCAGCTGAAACCTTTCTCATATTCTTTATGTTTAAAAGTTTACTACATTATAAATTTTGTCTAATAAGGTGCTCCCTCTGTCTTAAAATTTTCTCAATCATTATATTAAAAGAGATTATTCCCAGTATGCATTCTCTGATGGATAATAAGTTTTGCTCCTTGGATGAACACCTTACTACATGTATAACATGCAAAGGGTTCCTTTCCAGGATGAGTTCTCTGGAGAGTAATAATTTTTGACATCCAGCTGAAGCCTTTTTCACATTGATTATATGGAAAGTATTTCTGATGCTCAATAAGGTGTTGTAATGTATTCCCACCCCCCCAGGAGAAGGCTTTCCCACATTCATAAGATCCAAACGTCTCATGTCCAGTATGAATTCTTATATGTCTTTTGAGCATTTTCCAGGAAAAAAAATAGCTTTCCTATACTCATTCCAGAGGAAGAGTTTTAATTCAGCATGTATTCACTGATGTCCTCCAAGGACTATCCTAAGAAAGTATCCTATGTTAATTATATTCAAAGTGCTTCTCTTTAGTGTAAGTTATCTGATAGCTTTTGAGTATTTTACTCTCATCAAAGGCTTGGCCATTTTAATTATATTTAAAAGGTTTCTCTCCAGTATGAGTTTTCTGATGGGTAATAAGGCTTGCCCTCTGAGTGAAGGCTTTCCCACATCCATTACACTCGAAGGGTTTCTCTCCAGTATGAGTTCTCTGATGGGTAATAAGGTTTCCCCTCTCCCCAAAGCCTTTTCCACATTCGTTACATGCAAAGGGTTTTTCTCCAGTATGAGTTCTCTGATGGGTAATAAGGCTTGCTCTCCAACTGAAGCCTTTTCCACATTCACTACATTTAAAGGGTTTATCTCCAGTATGAATCCCTTGATGATAAATGAGGTGTCCCTTCTGGCTGAAGCCTTTCCCACATTCATTACATTCATAAGGTTTCTCTCCAGTATGAATTCTCAGATGTCTGTTAAGGCTTCCCCTGCTACTGAAGGCTTTCTCACATTCATTGCATTCAAAGGGTTTCTCTCCAGTGTGAGTTCTCTCATGATGAATCAGGAGTCCCCTCTGGCTAAAGGCTTTCCCACATTCATCACATTCGAAGGGTTTCTCTTCAGCATTGATTATCTGGTGTCCACTAAGGTTCCCCTTATTCCTGAAGGTCTTCCCATATTCAGTGCCTTTGAAAGGCTTCTTTCCATTATGAGTTCTCTGATGATGAATGAGAATTCCTCTCCGGCTAAAGGCTTTTCCACATTCATAACATTTAAAGGGTTTCTCTCCAGTATGATTCCTCTGATGATCAATAAGGGATCCTCTGTGCCTGAAGCTTTTCCCACAATCATTACATGCAAAGGGTTTCTCTCCAGTATGAGTTCTCTGATGTCTATTAAGGCTTCCCCTGTCTTTGAAGGCTTTTCTGCATTCATGACACTCAAACGGTTTCTCTCCAGTATGAGTTCTCTGATGGGTAAGGAGGTTTCCCCTCTCACTGAAAGCTTTCCCACATTCCTTACATACAAAGGGTTTCTCTCCAGTATGAGTTCTCTGATGAGCAATAAGGTTTCCCCTTCGGCTGAAGTCTTTCCCACATTCATTACATTTAAAGGGCTTCTCTCCAGTATGAACTCCTTGGTGATTAATGAGATGCCCCCTCTGGCTGAAGCTCTTCCCACACTGATTGCATTTAAAGCGTTTCTCTCCACTATGAATTCCTTGATGATTAGTAAGGTGTCCCCTCTGACTGAAGGCTTTCCCACACTCAGTACATTCAA